GCTGAGGCGGGCAGATCACCTGAGGTTGGAGTTCGAGACCAGCCTGGCCAACACAGTGAAACCCCATCTCTACTAAAAAATGCAAAAATTATCTGGGCGTGGTGGCGAGCACCTGTAATCCTACCGACTAGGGAGGCTGAGACACAAGAATCGCTTGAACCCAGGAGACAGAGGTTTCAGTGAGCCGAGATCATGCCACTGCACTCCAGGCTGGGGGACAAAGCGAGACTCCATCTCAAAAATACATACATACATACACACATACATACATAAAATAAAATAAAATAATTTCAAAATAAAAAAGTTTTCCAAAAACCATCTAGTCTAAGCCCTTTCTTGTGCATGTAAGAAATCTAGGAATGCTAACTTGCAAACTCCCTGCATCCTAGCACTGAGCATGTGATAAGTAGGAGCTTGGCCTGTTGTTTGCAAAGCAGTAAAGGACTATTGTGAATGTAAGCAAACTTCTCAGTCTGTTTTAGAAAAGGGTGAATGTGGAAACTGGGGATCCGAAAACATTCCCTTAAAATTATCTATGCAAATGTACCCCTTAGAAAGTCTTCATGGTCAGGCACGGTGGCTCATGCCTATAATCCCGCCACTTTGGGAGGCCCAGGGGGGCAGATCGATTGAGTCCAGGAGTTCGAGATCAGCCTGGCCAACGTGGTGAAACCCCATCTCTACTTAGAATACAAACATTAGCCAGGCGTGGTGGCACACACCTGAAGTCCCAGTTACTTGGGAGGCTGAGGTGGGAGAATGGCTTGAGCCCAGGAATTCAAGGTTGCGGTGAGTCGACATCATGCCGCTGCACTCCAGCCTGGGCAACAGAGCAAGACTCTGTCTCAAAAAAAAAAAATAATAGAACATCTTCATGTTCTCCAGGGATAGGAAATCCCTGAGGATGCTGTCTGGAAGAGGTAGGGAGTGAAAAACACATAAAGTTACAGAACGGACATCTGGTCCCCAAGGTTATGTGAGCATCCTGAGTTATGACCCACTCCAGAAAATCTGTTGTTCATCTGGACACTGACAAACCTCTCCACAGCCCCAGGGACAGGAAACCCTGCTTGCTAATTAATATGCAACTCAACTCCCTTTCCTGTGGTCTGCTGACTCACGCAGGAGTATCCTGGCAGTCTGTGGAGCCCTTAGGCTGTGATGTGGCTAACAGCACCTTCCGGCAGTCTAACAGACCTGGTTTGCCTCAGTTATGGCTGAGCAAAATCAAGCAGGGTCCTTAAGTTCTCCTGGCTACAGTTCCATATCTGCAAAGTGGGGATAACAGTGTCTACCTTGCATTTGAAACGCCGGGCATGCATGCTTAGAAGAATAACTACCGCAGCAGCACTCTCTCCGTGCCAGGAACTGTTAGGCGTGTTTCATTCATATTTAGTCCTCCCCAGTGGGGCAATTCTCAACCCCTAAAGTCAGAAATACCATCTGATGCAGCAGCAATCCCATTACTGGCTATATACCCAAAGGAATACAAGCTGTTCCATCTTAAAGACGCATGCACGCGTATGTTCATTGCAGCACTATTCACAATAGCAAAGACATGGAACCAACCCAAATGCCCATCAATGATAGACTGGATAAAGAAAATGTGGTATATACACACCATGGGATACTATATAGCCATAAAAAGGAATGGATCCTATTCTTTGCAGGGACATGGAAGGAGCTGGAGGCCATTATCCTCAGCAAACTAATGCAGGAACAGAAAACCAGATACCACATGTTCTCACATATAAGTGGGAGCTAAATAATGAGAACACATAGACACATACAGGGGAACAGCACACACTGGGGCCTATCAGAAGGTGGAGGATGGAAGGAGGGAGAGGATCAGCAAAAATAACTAATGGGTACTGGGCTTAATGCCTGGGTGATGAAATAATCTGTACAACAAACCCCCATGACAAAAGTTTACCTGTTTAACAAGCCTACCCATCCTGCACGTGTACACCTGAACTTAAAATAAAAGTTTAAAAAAAAAAAAAAAGATTCAGTCCTCCCAATAAGCCTGAAAACTATGGCATTCCTTCACATCTTTTTTTTTTCTTCTTCTTTTTCTTTTGAGATGGCATCTCAGCCAGGCTCAGGGACTGACACCTGTAACACCAGCACTTTGAGAGGTCAAGGCAAGTGGATCACCTGAGGTCAGGAATTCAAGACCAGCCTGACCAACATGGCAAAACTCCTTCTATTCTAAAAATATATAACTTAGCCGGGCTTAGTGGCACGCACCTGTAATCCCAGCTACTCAAGAGGCTGAGGCGAGAGAATCACTTGAACCCAGGATGTGGAGGCTGCAGTGAGCTGAGATTGCACCACTGCACTCTAGCCTGGGCAACAGCGCCAGACTCTGTCTCAAAAAAATAATAAAGAAAGAAATAAAAGTTTCTCCAAAGACATTTCTCAGGGACTGCACCAGGGGTCCTCTTTAGTCCCAAGGGCTGAAGTGCCATGTTTTGAGGTAAGTCTGGTGTCTTTATGGGGGTTCTCTTTTCACCTGGTCTTAGGAGTATGTCAGAACCTATAGGCTGAAACCAGCACCTTCACAGATTATCTAGACCATCAATTAATTGACTGGAAAGACTGGCTCACACACCGAGAACAACTGAATCCAAAGCCACTTATGCTGTCTTGCAAAATGTGAGCTTAAAATGAAGTTTATAAAACAGTCTTTAGCTGGTCCTGGTGGCATGTGCCTGTAATTCCAGCACTTTGGGAGGCCGAGGCAGGCGGTTCACTTGAGCTCAGGAGTTTAAGACCGGCCTGGGCAACATGGCGAAACCTCATCTCGACAAAAAATACAAAAATTAGCTGGGCATGGTGGCACATGCCTGTAGTCCCAGCTACTAGGGAGGCAGAGGTGGGAGGATGACTTGAGCCCTGGAGATGGAGGTTGCAGTGAGCTGAGATCCCACCTCTGCACTCCAGCCTGGGAGACAGAGAAAAAACCCTGTCTCGAAAAACAAACACACTTTAGAACTCACAAGCATTGTGAGATTTAGATTTTGAAAACTCACAGAGGCTTTGAATTTATTTTTGTTAATATAATATTTTTAGTTCAAAAAAAAGTTACCTTCAATGACATGTTTGCTCACATTTCCTTTCTTCTATAAACTCTTTCTAAGCCTCCTCTCCAAGCTGAATGAACGCCTCACTCTTCACCAGCGCATCGTCTGGGTCTAGTCATCCACTTAGTGACAGAGCCCACTGCGGGCCAGGTTTGTATGGACGATGAGGAGGCACAGGGAGCTGCCCTGCTCTCAGGGATCTTAGGCTCAGGTTCACGAGACAGAGGCCAAGGCAGTCAACACACACAGCGAAAGGTGTGCATGGACTTGGGAGACAGGGGAGCCTTTTTTGGTGTAGGCTTTGACAACTGAATGGGGGTAGGGAGGAAGTGTCGGGGAGAACCCTGGATAGCCGGGGAGACCTCCCAGGGGAGGGAATGGCACTCTCGAAGGCCCTGCGGTGGGTGTACGTTGGCAAGTTCAAGGACCTGCAGGAGGCCAGTGTGGCCGGAGCTGAGGGAGTGAGAAGTGAAAGGAACCAAGCCTAGGCAGCGAATGGAGATGACTGGTGTGTACAATGTCCACCCTTCCCGGCCCTCCTCTCTCCAACAGCATCCACCCGCTTACTGAATCTTCTGTATTTAGTCAGGGACTGTGGACCTAGCCCATCTCTCGGATGAATCTCAGGGCTGCCCCAAAAGGTCACAGAGCCCCTGTAGATCCCCACAGCGCGGCCAGCCCAGGACCTTACGATACATAGATATCCTCTTTGGGAGCAGTCTTTTCATTTTCTGGGTAGTCAGCCTGAAGGCTAGGCCAGATTTCTGTCAAGGCCACTGCTCTATCCCTGCACCTGACACATCTCACGCCATCAAACGTGACTCAGAGCTTGAGGAGGTGGCCTCAGGTTCACCAAAATGCCCTGCCCCATCACGCCGCGGCCAGATCACAACCCTGGGAGTCATCTCGCAAAGGAGGTGCCAAGCCTCTGCCGCCTGTTCTCTTCACAGCGTGGGCGGCAGGTGCGTAAAGGATGAAGAAAGACTCACTGGCAATCAAGGCTATTTCTGGAGCGTAGCAGTGGGGGGCTCTGGAAAAAATTCAGACGAAGCAAGATGCTGGTCACGCATTCCGGCTGCAGAAGGAACCGCTCCAGGGCTTCCTCCACTCAGCGGGTATGCCATGCTCCACCCTAAACCCAGTCCCATCTGCAGAGATGCAGATGCTGAGGCTGAAAGTGAAATAACCGGCCTAACCTCTGTCAACCAATGAGAGGCAAAAAAGTCATAGAAGCTTGAGTTTTATTATTCCCTGTAGAAACTTGGAAGGGGCCAGAAGGGGATGAGGAAGGGCGGGTGAAAGGAACCAAAATGAAAGATCCCTTCTGTGGTGTCGCTGGGGCAAGAACTGCTGCTGTTTAAAAGGGCGTGGGGAAGGGGGATAGAAGGAAGGGAGTAAAACCGACATAGGGCCAGGCACAGTGGCTCACGCCTGTAATCCCAGCACTTTGGAAAGCAGAGGCAGGCAGATCACCTGAGGCCAGTTCAAGACCAGCCTGGTCAACACGGTGAAACCCCATCTCTAACAAAAATACAAAAATTAGCCAGGCATGGTGGCGCACACCTGTAATCCCAGCTACGCGGGAGGCTGAGGAATGAGAATTGCTTGAACCTCGTAGGAGGAAGTTGCAGTGAGCTGAGATCGTGCCGCTGCACTCCAGCATGGGCGAGAGAGTGAGAAACTCAGTCTCAAAAATAAAAATCAATAAAAATAAAACATGAAGTCTATCAATTAGAAGAAAGACTGAGACAGCTCATTCTCCCCAAATGCAGGCAGGAGACACTCTGTGCTTGAACATCCTGTTGAAGGGAAGATAATGAAGCGGTGAGTTGGCAGCTCCGTGGTGCATCTGCCATAAACATCAATTAAAGACTCTTCTTCCCCCACGAGAAGACCAGAGGTTCACTTCGTCCATGTATTTCAACCAAGTATTTTATTGGTCTGGCAACTGCAAAATATACAAATTTCTGAAAGGCATCTCCTGTTGGAAAGCTAGCATAGCTTTATATCCCAGGTCATTAATTCAGACAGATACATAGAACACAGAGAAGTCATAAGTCACACATAGAAGGCTCCCAAACCAATTAACAACAAAACCCAATCTCTACGGCTTTCTATTGTTTAGGCTCCTTATACATATTAAATAAATAAATAGCACATCTGCTATCAAAATAATACAAAAATAAATTTCAAGTATTACAAACGAAAATATCATTGGTGTGGTTCCAAACAGTTTTTCTTCTCTCCCAAAACGAAGAGCTTTGCCCATGGTCTCAGGACAGAATAAGGAGAGGGGGAAACTCACCCAAAAACAAATAGACAAAGTTAAAAATATTGGTCCCCGTTATTTTTTTTGTGGGGTGGGGAGTTGGTAAGAATCGGTAGACGCCAAAATTCATGACTGTAGCTCAAACCCACCCCTGCCCCGTCCAACGTCCCCTCAAAAGGCAGGTCACTGGCTTGCAAAGTGGGCAGTGTTCTCCTTTCTGTAGAATCTCCCTCCCTGTCCAGATTCATGTTCCCTCTCTTCCCATCTAGGCCCTTCCCAGACTAAAGGCCCGTGTTAGGCCAAGGCTTCTATATTTAGGTATTGATTTTAGCTAGTCAGAAGGGAGAGGGGAACACAGCTTTATCAAGCCCCTATCTGTATCGAACTTCAGAGTTGATGTTCAAAGAATGAGGCCTGCGAAGGGGACACGAGAAACTATTCTCGAGAGCAAAGCAACAGGCCTTTCATGTCAAATCGAAAAATACAACCAAGTGAAGCACAATCATGCACCCATGCACGCCCACCCCCTACCCACACACTCTGATGAGACTCAACATCCAGGGAGAGAGAGAAAACTGTGTGAGTCTGGAGTTGCACGGGAATGCAGACAGCGGCATCCTCTCCAGCAGATGCCAGCCAAAGCGGGTGTGATGGGCAGGGAGGGCTTGAATGGTTCAGCGTGAAAATCCCCCACTTGATTGTACGATATCTGAAGCACAGCCTCAGTTCCTACTCAATTCCAACCGGGAAAAAAACATGCGTTCTTTAAAAACTCTTCTCGAAAAACAAACAGCAACAGCTCTTCTTGAAAAACAAAGAGCAACGGCTCTTCTTTCCACGCCCAGTTTCAGCTGTCTAAATCCCCCGCCCTCACCCAGGACCTGTCCCTTGAGCTGGGAGGAGGATCTCGGGGCTCACAGCAGAAGGCAGGAAAGAAAAGTGACCTTTGGCACCAGCTTTGAGACGTCCTGAAAAGGGTCATTTGGACAAACTCTGCTGCCTGCCGAGTTTCCAAATGGTTTCATCTGGGCACGAGACCCCCCCCGCCCCACCTACCCCAGGGTTTGAGGCAATGACAAGAAACCAACAGGCTGAGACGACAGGTCCCATGCTTTCCATCACCACAGAAATGTCACAGATGCCATGAAGGGAAGGCCAGGACAAAGTCCACTCTTCCGACTTCCCCAAGGCACTGGCAGAGTGCCAGGCACAAGGCAGACGCTCCAAGACAGTGTGCAGGCAGCTCTGGAAGCAGCAGCTGGGAGTGAGGCCTTGCTCGGGCCACTGTCCCCACCTGGGAAGAGCAGGGACAGTAATGCAAGTGCTGGGGAAGGACGCCAGGTGTTCCGCTCCTCACCTTCAGAGGCTCCAAGCCCCCCCAGGGCAACACACCCCAACATCTACGTTCCTGAAGAGAAGGTGTGACGCTCAGGTCACACTTCCGCCATCAAAAAAGTGCAAAAGCCAGCAGCTCCAGGAAAGTGTGTCTCAGCTCCCCCCAAGTCCAGGTTGGAGGAGAGAGGGGCCCTGGAGGGCCCAGTTCTCATATTTCAGCAAAATATTCCCCTCTCCCCGGGCAGCCAGCCTGCCCTTGAACATCTTTGGAGGCAGAACGCAGGCCTGGAAGGTGTGCGGACCCGCGGGACAGCCAAAGTGTGGGCCACCCAGCCAACTTGCATATCGGCTCAGGGACTTCTTGCAGAAGACGCCCCAACCCAACACCTATCCAAGTCCATTCCCATGAGGCGTCTTCCCAGGTCAAGATGCATCAAACAGCCACGTGGAAGTTTTTACCCATTCCTTGACCTTCAGCCACTAGGAGCTTGCCTCCTTTAATTTTAGGATTCTGCCACCAGTGTGGTCTTCCCAGCTCCAAATGTGCCAGGAGATCACAGAAACAAAATAATGGCACAGTGTCCCCAGCGGCCTCTTGTCAGGACCAGCACTCATCACTCTCCCCAGGCCTTGTAGGTCTCCGAAGCTGGACACTCCTAGGAAACCCAGAGAGTGGAGGTTGGGGCCCCGCGGCTAAAGGCAGGGTGCCAGGGACCCACATGGCTTTCCGGTGTCCAGTGGCTGAGGGGACACAGGGTGCCAAGCATGGTTCTCTTCGGCCAAGGCTCCCCCGCTGCTCCATCCCACCCTCTCCAGAAGAAGTCCTCAGGATACGTCGCGCCTCGGGCAGAGGGCAGGACACAAGCTAAGCTGCAGAAATGGAAACGGAATGGAACCAACACGTCTGCTTCAGTGTTTCCTGGAGGAGTCGGCGCTGCTCCGGGAGCCTTTCATGTTCTGTTTTCAGGAGAAAAGAAAGGTGGGGAGGGAGTCAAGGTTTGCAGCTGGCTGGCTTCTAAAGCAGAAGACGCCGAGTCATGCAAGGGAGAATTCTTCCCTCCCTCCATCCCGGACAAAGAACAGGACCCAAGAAAGGTGCTGCCAATCCCACAGGCGGAAGACAGCCCAGGTGGGCCCCAGAACATGACGGAAGATAACCCCAGAGTCTCAGAGAAGGGGCTGGGCGCCAGGCCAGGAGCCCGCCTGGTGGGGGCCGTGTGGCTCCGGGAGGACCGTGAGCTACGCAGTGCTAGGCGCCAGGGACCACAGGAGCCTCATGCTCATGACCCCATAGAAATTCCACAAGGGGAACCTCACCGGCCCCAGCCAGGCAGATGAGCCTGGGGCCTCCAAAGACACCCAGGCCCCTTCCTCTCAACTCAGCCCACAGCAGAGCCACACTCCCAGCTCCTGCACCCAGATTCTGGGAACACAGCTTGACAGGCAGAACACAGGTGATACATGGAATGGCTGGACATGGTGGGGAGGCCCAGGCGGGAAGCCAGGCAGAGGGGGCTGTCGCTAAGACCCTGCCCCACTTCTGATCACAATGGCCCTCGCAGGGAGTCCCACCCCTAAGGCACTGGCCAGTACCAACCCCCCCCCCCGAAAACATGTTCCGATATTAGTGGGGAACATGACTGACTGCAGCCACTGCACAGCAGGCCTCCTTCCCCGACCTCCTTCCCCTACGCCTCAAAAAACAAGAAAACATACAATGTTTAAAACTATTCTCTCCAATCTTCAGTGTCTCCACCCAGACTGCTCTAAAGACGGTGGGAGAGCCCAGGCACACAGGGCCACCACGGCCCACGCCCACCCCACACAGAACTGGGGGTCCGAGGCTGCAGCCATCCACAGGGAGGAAAGTCACAGGGCTGGGCAGCATCAGAGCTCTCGCCCAGGCCTGGGCTGGACTCAGGAACCCAGGTGATGGGTGCCCGCTGGGAGGTAATAGGTGCCTGCTGGGGGGTGATGGGTGCCTGCCGGGAAGTGATAGGTGCCTGTCAGGAGTGATGGGTGCCCACTGGGGGATGATGGGTGCCCACTGGGGGATGATAGGTGCCTGCCAGGGGATAACGAGTACCTGCTGGGAGGTGATAGGTGACTGCCAGGGGATGATGGGTACCCATTGGGGGTTGATGGGTGTCTGCCGGGGGATGATGGGTGCCTGCTGGGGGGTGATAAATGCTTGCCGGGAGGTGATAGGTGCCTGTCAGGGGGTGATGGGTGCCCATCGGAGGATGATGGGTGCCCGCCGGGGGGTGATGGAAGTGATGGGTGCCTGCCGGGAGGTGATAAGTGCCTTCCAGGGGGTGATGGGTGCCCATCGGAGGATGATGGGTGCCCGCCGGGGGGTGATGGAAGTGATGGGTGCCTGCCGGGAGGTGATAAGTGCCTTCCAGGGGGTGACGGGTGCCCATCAGAGGATGATGGGTGCCTGTCGGGGGTGATGGAAGTGACGGGTGCCCGCCAGGAGGGGGGGGTTCTCTCCAGAGAGCCCTGGGTCCTCATATCTAGGGAGAGCCCCAGCCGGGCTGTGGGATCAGAGAGCAGGGCTGACATTTCCCTCCACATCCGCTGGCTCCGACCTGTCCTCACCACCACCAGCCCACGGCTTCCGGCACCCACAGATGATGGCGATGCAACAATGACAGTGGAGAGCCTGCAAGACCGGGTGACGTCCACGTCCTTCACCCAGGGGCCCCGGCTCAGGACACGTGGGGGGTGAGAGACAGACTAGAGAGGACCTCACGACAATGGTGCTGCACTTCACACCCTTGGCATGGAGACAAATGAGCCCCGCACTGCACGATGGCCAGTCTGCACACAGACCCAGGTGCCGTGACGCGGTGCAGAACGGAGGGACATGCACCCAGGCATTTACCTTCCACGGTTAGTAAGGAGAAAACTTTGAGAAAATGTGACAGACAGTTCGTCTTTCAAGCAGAGTGGGGAAGAGGAAGAAACAGGTTGGAAAAGGAAAAAAAAAAAAATCTTTAGTAGGGTTTTCTAGTGTGCATTTGAAATTTTAAAAATGAAGGTTGCATCACAAATGCCAGGTGATCTCTCGATCCCAAGCAGCCGGCACAGCCCCCAGGAAGGCACTGCAGAGCGCCGGGTCCGGACATTCGTTCACCCCCATTTTACTGGGAAACCAAGATCACAGGGGTCAAAAGACTCTAGGCCAGGTGCAGTAGCTCACGCCTGTAATCCCAGCACTTTGGGAGGCCGAGGTGGGTGGATCACCTGAGGTCAGGAGTTCGAGACCACCCTGGCCAACATGGTGAAACCCCATCTCTACTAAAAATAAAAACATTAGCCAGGCGTGGTGGTGGGCGCCTGTAATCCCAGCTACTCGGGAGGTTGAGGCAGGAGAATCACTTGCACCCGGGAGAAGGAGGCTGCAGTGAACCGAGATTGCACCACTGCACTCCAGCCTGGCAACAAGAGCAAAACTCTGTCTCAAAAAAGAAAGATTTCAGGCCACTGCCTTGAGACCCCAGGGGTTTCCCCTTCCCAAGTCTGAATGTTCCTGCTGCCCCAGAGAAGAAATCCCTCGGGTTACAGAAGGGTATCCAAATGCTGACCCAATGCCAGCGAGCCCCGAAGTCTCCACAGGCCCAGGGCACCAAGTTCCTCCCTGACAAGAACAGCACTGCCGTCCGCCATGCACTTCCTAGGGGCCAGATGTTCTGCTAAGTGCTGTATCTAGAGTCCCATTAGGAAAACTTTATGAAGTTATTATCTCCATATTACAGATGAGGAAGCTGAGGTCCTAGAATTGCTTTAACGTGCCCGTGCCAAGGACAGAGGCCAGGAGGAGTAGAACCAAGACGCAGACCTGGCTCGGTCTGACTTTCATCATAAATTCTGGTCACAGAGCCCAGGTGGACTCCAAGAATCAGATGTGGCTACAATCCTAGATGTGGGGTCACGCACCCAGAATGGACGGGACAATGGGACTCCAGAGTGAAATTCCGACCTGAGTCAGGTGCGATGGGTCCACAGGATGTATTTTTGCTGAGCAGGAGGGATTCTAGCAAAGGCACTATAATGTCAGTCTTGGAGATGGACAAGATCAGCTTTAGCGGGTCGGAGACTATCCCCGAATGGTTCTTCCTAGTACAAAGACTTCTTTCCTGGCAACATCAGGCCACGGGTCTAACGCAGGGGTCCCTAACCCCTGGGCTGTGGACCAGTACCCAGTCCATAGCCCATTCAGAGGCAGGCCACACAGCAGGAGGTGGGCGGTGGGCGGGCCAGCCAGCACTAACACCTGACTCAGAGGAGCATATATGAACCCTACAGTGAACTGTGCACACGAGGGATCTAGGCTCTGCGTTCCTTCTGAGAATGTAATGTCAGATGATCTGAGGCAGAACAGTTTTATCCCCAAACCATCTCCCACCCTGCTGTAGTGGGGAAAATTCTCTTCCATGAAACGGGTCCCTGGTGCCAAAAAGGTTGGGGACTGCTGGGCTACAGGATCAGGACACGCACAGATATAAAACCTTCAGGCTCCAAATGCAAAGGCAGGTTTCCCACAGGGAGAAGCCCAGATCCTGAAGTGCTGCACACTGGCCCGGCACATCACAGACACTGGCCCTGAGGATGCAGGGCGTGCCCCCAGAAGCTGGAAGTTAAGGGCAGGCCCACCTTAGGTAAGCAAAGCCTGGCCATGGGAAGCAGCTGCAAGGGAGTGGCTGTGGGGGGACACGAGGGTCCAACAGCTGCCTATGCCTTGCAGGCTGCAGGGCAGGGGCCTCAGGACAGCAGCAGGGAAAGGTGAACCCTGCTGGAAGCACGGAGCAGTCACTCAGCCCCTCACCCATTAAACGGGGCACTGACTGTCCTTCCGATCTCTCAGGGTGGTCTTAAGGAACGTGGGCATGGGGGACACTGGCATATCCTCTGGCCCTTCACCCCTTCGCCACCAAAATCTGAGTGCCATGCCCAGCCTCTCCTGTTTCCAAAACCCAGCCATGCTTTTCAGTCTCAGGCTGCACTCCTCATTACACCTCTCCAGTTTCTGCATAAAGTAGGAAAGGTAACTTAAGGAGCAAAGAGGAAATAAAGGGGAGGTGTGTTTTTGGGGGGCACGAGGGTGACACTTCATGGTGGCTGTCATTAAGGTTCTGTGGCAGAAAGTCCTCTGCTCCCGGTGGGGGCAGGATCCCAGAGTGGTGGGAACACAGCCCCAGCTATCCAGGGGCTGCCAGAGCTAAGACTGAACCTGAAACTCTGCAGAGAGCTCTGGGAGGAGCAGAGGTGACCACATGGGTTAGAGATGGAAGCCGCACCCAGCCCTGGGTGTGACTATGATGCTGAGCAGGCTCCACCCCAGGACAAACGGATCCTCAAGAAGGGCTCCACTTGGAACTCGTTCGGGGCATGGGGGATCCTCATGGGGAGGGAGAGGCTCAGAGCTCAGGCCCCAGCACACTCCCACTATTCACACAGGTTTGTTTTACAGATGAGGCTCTGAGTAAGTTTTCCTTTCAAAACAAGACACTCCTGGGGCAAGAGGGGGCTTTAGGGCTAATGGCACCCGGCGCAGATGCAGCTCGCCACCGAGATCTGATTCGGAGAAGGAAATGTGGACTTATGCTGAGCCCTAAACCACGGCCATTACAAACCACGACCTGCAGCCCTGAGGGTCACGGAGAAGCCAGCTGTCGTGCGGCGGTGTTGGAACACACGCAACCGTAGTGGAGCCACCACCACCTCCTGCACCCTTTTCTAAAAACATTCAGGAATCTCTCCTCCCTGCTCCCACGCCCATCTCCTCCTTCCCCCGTGAAGACCTCGGATCACAAAACTGCTCTCATCCTCAATATTTTAACAGGCAGGAGGCCAACTGAGCAAGCAGGAAGAAAGCGGTGAAGCAGCAGCAATGATCGGAGAGATACTTACAGACAGGCTTGCCCTAGCAAAGGCTGCGGAGGAGAAGCAGAGAGAGAAGTCAGTCAGGAGGCGCAATCTGCAGGGACGAAGCCCTGCAAAACCCCAGGCCAGCCCAGCCAGCAGCTTCAGATGTCCCTAAGAACCTGGCCAGTCTGAAGGACTGTCCTCCCGACACCAGGGGCAGCTCTGAAGCGGACGGGAGGATGCAGCCCCTGCCACTGCGTCCTCCACAATGGAGGTCTGTGCAGCTCAGGATGTCAACCCCCTTCCCCAGCCTGGTCCCCCCAAGCATCAAAGCAGCGGCCTCTGAACTTCCAAATACAACCGCACATTTCCATCAGAACGGATGCCACAGGGACACCATTTCCGTTCTGCTGGCTTTTCATGAAAACCCTCAGATCTGAGACCCACCAGGGAATATTTATGAGGGCTCTCCCAATCCTGCCCCCGTCATGTGGAAAGCTAAGGAGACTGAGGGCCTGGGAGGAGAAGAATCTGGGCGATTAAATGCTGCACTCATGTTAGTGTTGAACTACCACCAAAGCCAGGCCTCCAGGCTTCCGCTAATCACAGCCACCTCACCGTGTCTACGTGTCCCCACCACGTGCCCGACACTGGGCCTGATGCAGGGCACGAATCCCCCCATCTGATCTGCATTCTGCACTGCCACTGTTCCCCCATTGCCTGGATGAGAAAACTGAGGCCTGCAGAGGTTAAGTGACCTGTGGAGGCTGCGGCATCTCGCAGGTCACATTCCAGACACCACCAGGTCTAAGGAAGTCTCGGAAAAAGCGGGAAGAGGGGGCAGACTGAAGAGGATGCTCAGAGCCGGCAACAACATCCGGCTCATCAACAAACCTGACCGGACGCTGCACTAGGCTGATTTGTGGGGCCAGGCCTGGTGGGTGGAGGTGGGACAGACCCTTGGGTGGTACCTGAATTTGAGCCCAGAAATTTCTACATCTCACATATTTGCAAGGGTTCCTGGCTCTAAAGGAAAAGACCAGTTTTCTGAAAACAAATCAATGTCTAATAACCAAAATCTTCCAGCCTGTAACCTTCAAAACTAATGAAATAAGTGAAATCGGGTTGGTTTTTTTTTTTTTTTTTTCCTGAGACGAGTCTCCCTGTCGCCCATGCTGGAGTGCAGTGGCGCCATCTAGGCTCACTGCAACCTCCACCTCCCGGGTTCAAGCAATTCTCCTGCCTCAGCCTCCTGAGGCTGGGATTACAGGTGCCTCCTCAGCTGGGACTACAGGTGCCCGCCACCACGCCCGGCTGATTTTTATATTTTTAGTAAAGACAGGGTTTCACCATGTTGGCCAGGCTGGTCTCAAACTCCTGACCTTGTGATCCGCCCGCCTCGGCCTCCCAAAGTGCTGGGATTACAGGCGTGAGCCACCGTACCCAGCCTTGTTTAGGTTTCTCACTACCGCTGGGATAACCATGTTATTTATGGGAGAAAGTGGCCACTCTCTTTGTTTTAGAAATAACCATTCACAAATGTGAACGGGTCTTGGACATCTCACTCTTCCTTCTGCACTGCCTGCTTCTGCCCTGTAAAGACCCCATCCTCAGAAAGGAGGCGAACGCAGTCACAGTTGTCACCAGCAAGGAGAGTCCCCAGGGCCTCAACTTCGGAGGGTGCCTCTCATGTTCTCCCTCAACACACATGTGTGCACATGCCCCCGTGACACACGTGCACAGACACCTACAACACACACATGCACACTCACACACACACCCCCACGCATTCCTGCAAACACACACGCAATCGCAGATCTGCGGCGTCACGCCCGGCATGCGTCCCCCAGGCAGGAAGGAAAGGGGAGTGCACTGACTTGTCCGGGCAGCTGCGTGGGCACCTCCGGGGGCAGGCAGCTGGGCAGGGCGGCCGAGGTGGAGGCCACATGCTCCTCAAAGCTGTTGATGCGAGGCTTTTTGGTGGGCTCGGGGCTGGCTAGCGGGGTGACACTATTGCGTCTCATGAGCGGGTTAGGTCCCTTCTTTGCATCCTAAGCAAGACAAAGACAAAAGAGAGAAAGGCGACAGTTACAAAGAAGGGGAGGAAAATTAGCCCCAACAAAGTTTATCTGCTCCTGGATTTTAGGGAGGCAACAAGACTGACCGAGGGGAGTGGCCGGGACCATGGACCAGGGACCGCGGACCAGGGACTGTGGACCAGGGACCACAGACCACGGACCAGAGACCACAGACCATGGACCAGAGACCATGGACCAGGGACCACAGACCAGGGACTACGGGCTGCTGAGTGTGTGGCAATTCCCAGGCAGCAAGAATGGGGGTGATTCCCTCCCATGCCCCTTCCTCGGATGGTTCCAAAGGATTCCCCACACAGACAAACACGGTGCTTGCAAAGCAAGGAGGGAAAGAATGATAATCACAGCAGAGCATGAGGTCGGAGAAAAGAGCTTTGCTTCCAGCCTCTCTGAGAGCTGAGGACGGGCATCTAGGAGGGACAGGCTGGGCCTGAGGCTCCCAGGATGGGGAGGGGAAGGCACCTGTGCTGACTGCCTTCCGCCGACCTGAGGCCATCTGTACTCCACAAAGGGCACCCTGGCTCAGGATGGGGCACGGAGGCTGCAAAACCAGCCTGGAGACCAAAGGGGCAGAAACCTCGCAGCAGGAAGCAGGTTCTGCCGGCCAGGACCAGACCCAGCCCTCCCACGGGAGGGACAGCGTGATGGGGTGCGGGCCTCCAGCCTCAGAACCGGGGTCTGTCTCCGTCATGGCCCTGCCCCATTCCCTGCAGGGAAGAGCTCCAGGACCGGCTCAGGCCCAATCCCATAGCTGGGGCAGTGGTTCCCTGACCGGGGCTGTTGTCATATGGCTAAAGGCAGGACAGCATCCAGTGACCCATATTCCGAAGGGGAGGGGGTGACAGGGACCAAGGCGGCCAAGGGACCCCGTCCTCTCTCAGGTCAGCCCACCAGCCAGGCAACTGCCAACGACTGGGCAGACACCTCATCCCTTCATGCCAAAATCTGACGGCTAAGCTTCTTGGGACAAGGACAGTCACCTGTTTTGGGAATGCCATGATGGAAAGTCACGCTCGGTCTAAGAGAAAGGTCTGACTAGTACTAGCAAAGTGTTGTACTTTTGGCAGCCTGTACACCGTGAATTCAAACTCACTTTCACAACGCACATCCACCTGGGCAGAGGTCCACTCTACTCAGTCAGAGGCAGCCTGGCCCACCTCCAAATGTCAGGCCTCCCCACAAGGTAGAGAGCAGCCGCACGGCCAGGCCTCGAAACACCTCCCCACCCGCCATCCCCCAGGCCTCCGCTCTCCACGCCACTCCTCTTTTAACACCGTGTTCTTGGCGGCTCTGAGCCTAATGACATGCACGTGGCGGCGCTGACCTGCTGCTCCTGTTTGAAACAGTAACTCTGGAGACTGAAAGCACGGGTTTTAGCTGCCAGAAAGGAAAGGCACCAAGAACTGTGCTATGCTGATGTTAAAAGAGAACAGAGGCTGGGAACAAAGGCTCACACCTTTATCCCAGCACTTTGGGAGACTGAGGCAAGAGGATCACTTGAGCCCAAGAGTTCAAGACCAGCCTGGGCAACAAAGCGAGACCCCCATCTCTAAAAAAAACGAATAAATTAAAATTAGCTGGGCATGGTGGTGCGCACCTGTAGTCTCAGCTACGCGGGAGGCTGAGGTGGGAGGATCACTTGAACCCAGGAGGTTGAGGCTGCAGTGAGCCGTGATTGCACCACCGCACTCCAGCCTGGGGAACAGACTGAGACCCTGTCTCAAAAAAAAAAAGAGAGAGAACGTATCTTCCTCACTAATATTCACATCTCGAGCTCAGCAGAAATGGGAAGAAGAGGACACAGGAAGGAAGAAAAAAAAAGAAAAGGCCACAGAACAGATGGGCAGGAACACAGAGGTGCTGAGGAAGGCAGCCAGCAGACCCATGGCCACATACAGGCCAGCACCTGCAGGAAAGCGGCCCTGGGGCCTCCTGAGCACCCATCACCCACCAGGGCTATCGTGTGATGATGGCCAGGATGAGGCTTGGGGCCTCCACTCACCTCTGACCTCTCCCGGTGCGTGCTGACGGACTCCACATTCAGGTAGATGGATTCCACACGGCAGCCTGGAGGGCGTGGGATGGGGGCAGAGGAAGCTGCTGTTAAAGGGACAGCCCCGCTTACAGCCCACGGCCACAAGAAGCTGCTGTGGCCACCTTCAGGGGGATAGGGCTTGGCAGGGGTTGCTACTCACCATAAGCGACAGGCGTCAGTTTCAGGACAGTGTGAAGAGGGCATTTCAGGTAGGGCATCTCCTCTGAAATGGAAATTGTACACCCACAATTAGAAATGAGACACAGCCAGGCGTGGTGGCTCAGGCCTATAATCCCAGCACTTTGGGAGGCCGAAGCAGGTGCATCACCTGAGGACAGGAGTTCGAGACCAGCCTGACCAACATGGCAAAACTCCATCTCTACTAAAAATACAAAATTAGCCAGGGTGTGGTGGCACGTGCCTGTAATCCCAGCTACTCAGGAGGCTGAGGCAGGAAAATCGCTTGAACCCGGGAGGTGGAGGTTGCAGTGAGCTCATGCAGTGCACTGCAGCCTGCGCAACAAGAGCAAAACTTTGTCTCCAAAAAAGAAATAAGACATGAGGGTGGGGGAGGCATAGAAAGACCTCTATGGTCCCCCCACAAGGACCCTCGGAAGCACTGTCGGGCCGGGGCACCTGTCCCCAGCCACAAGCTGCCCCGGGCAGCAGATGGCCCCAGAAGAAGACTTTAGCCCAAAGAGCACCATCAAACCAAACCAAAACACTCGCCCTCACAATGACTTAACAGTTGGGGAAAAAAGTCACTCCCAAACAACGTAGGTCTGTCTAGGGATTCAGCTGCACTGGACTGGACATGCTAAGACTTAACATTTCAATCTGATTGTCAGAGTTTTCCGGGCTGTTTGTTCCTTAGAGGGTACTGAAGAGAAGAGCAGCCCCTACCCCAAGACAAGACCCTGGGATGTGTGGAGCCGGAGGTGGGTCTCGGGGAGGTGTTTATGAAGCAATGAAGTCGCAGGCATCAACCTGGGCTCCACGGCATTTCCCGAGGGCTTCAAGGAAGCACTGGACAGAGAGGACCTGAAGCAGCCAGGAGCTGACACCTGTGCCCTTCTCCTAACACCCCATGGCACAGCAGCCAACACAGGACAGGCCACGGCAGGTCTGCAGCTGACCCCTCGAGTGCCAGTCCCCTCCTCCCTCCATCCCGGGACCCCGGCCTGCCCGAGGTACCTGCGCTCTTATCCAGGAAGTAGGCCAGCAGGCAGCGCAGGACGGCCTGGTGGCAGATGACCAGCACGTTCTCCTGCCGCTCCAGCTCCATGATCACCGGCTCCAGGCGCTGGACCAGGTCCTGGTAGGACTGAGCACAGAGGGCCGGGCCCACGTGAGCTCAGGGTACTCGGGAGGGGCTCTGCCACTGGCCATGGCCTGTATCAGACCGGCCAGAGAGCCATGTAAAATCAATCACCCATCATCAGCAGTGGTTGAGAAGCGGCAGGGTTTAACGTGGACTACTGCTCAGCCATCAACAGAGTGAAGCCCTCCCCCGCTCCCACACAGGGGAACCTGGAAAACCCAATGCTGTGTGAAAGAACCGGGCCCAAAGGCATGCGTGGCATCTGATTCCATTTACATGGAATGCCCAGAATAGGCAGATCCAGATGCAGGAAGCAGACGGGCCGGTGCCGGGGCTGGGTGGGGCAGGCGGGAGCGGCTGCTAACAGATCTGGGTTTCTTTGTGCAGCGAGGGAAAGGCCTGGAATATGTGGTGATGGCTGCCCGGCACTGTGAGTACACTAAAATGCGCTAGATCATAACTTTAACCTGAGGAAAATGGTCCCTTTTATGTGATGTGTATTTTCTATCAATTTAAAAATGTAAAAAGCAGCAGAAGGGCTGTGACTTTAGAAAAAGACCAGAAAAGGCTCTCTGCTGTGCTAACCAGGGCCCCGGTGTGTAAGGCCCAGTCTGAGGCCAGAGGACAGTAGGGCACAGAGGCCTGAGGCACGACACTGCTCAGCAGGGCACGAGCAGGGAGGACACACCCGGGCAAGGAGGACACACCCGGCCTAGGAGGATCCCATCTGTAGAGGAGGCAGCAGCATCCTCAGCCACAGCCACCCGGGCACTGTGCTTGGGGAGGCACAGACGCTGCCCAGGGGATGTAGAGCCACCCCTCCTGCCAGCCTGCCCACCACCCTGCCCAGTAGACCATCACACACCACCTTCCTCCTCTCCCACACGGTTCTAGGTCCCTAGGGAAACATATCTCATTTCTGCTTATGGGAAAATGCACTTCTCCCCAGGCTGTTAGAAGGTTCAGTTTGGGGGGACTCAATTCCGAGGTGGAGGGTGTAGGAGCCCCCAGAACCCACACGGAAGCGAACTCCCTGAAGGGGTGGCCCAGCCCTGCACAGCAGTGGCCGTGTGCGCTGGGGTCCCTCAGCCCGCCCCAGCCTGCGCTCACCTCCCCGGTGGGGTAGCGGTAGTAGTACTTGTCCTGCTCCCGCAGCGCGTACTCCTCAGGGTAGGTGTCCCTGATCTCCTCGTAGGTCAGCTCCTCACAGACGCCCTGTGGGGACACAGTGGTCACTCAGGGGAACAAACCACAGGGGTGTCTAGGGCCTCTTGGGAAGCCGTTCCATGCCCGCCTCCCAGGACTCACCGCGTCGATCTCATTGAGCGCCTTCCACTGCTCATACGGCAGCCGCAGCGCCTCGGCCGTCTGGATGGTGCTCTTCAGCTGGCTGGTCCACACGCGCAGGTCCTTCAGGTTCTGCTCCTCCACGAACTTGCTCAGGGCACTGGCAAACTGAGAGGTGGTGGAGAGGGGCCACTCATTCCAGATGCCCGCAGCTCCTCCAAGAGCCAGGGGCTGGAGCAGGCAGCCCACGTGGGGCTGTGCACTACCTGCTTACACCGTGGGGGCCCCAGGCCACTCGGACAGCCACAGTAGCACACACCCTCCCCAGAGACCAGGCTCAGCTCTTCCTTCCCCCCTCTTCCTAGTGCACAATTGCTCACACATCACACTCGTGCAGAGATACACACACCACACACAAATACACACACACATACAAACATACAAAGTAACACAAAGACACACACACACACACAAAGCCACATGGATAGGCATAGACACACACACATACAGAGATGCACACAGATATGCATAGGGACACGCAGGCACACACACAGATAACACACACAGCAGGCATACCAAGTAGCAGCAGCAGCAGCGCACACCTCCCCACCCACCCTGCAGACCCTGCAACCGCCCTGCAGCCAGAGCGGCCCATGCCGCAGCACACCCCACACCTTCTTGCCCCGGCTGGACAGGCCCGAGTCGCCCCCGATGCGGCCCTGGAGGTTGTGCTCGTTCTCGCCATGCCGGCACAGGTAGATGGTGCGCGGCTGCACGTGGATGTTCATCAGGTAGTACACGATGCGGCTCTGGATGTGGTCCTGCACCCGGTTCACCAGGAACCTCCGGCCCACGTCAATCACCTTGATCAGCGACAAGTCCCTGCAGAGAGACCCCACCAAGGACCACAGCTCAGGCCACTGCCCACAGTGGGACGTACCCGGCCTGGCCCGGCCGGTCTCCAGAAGATGCGTTCCCCAGGGAACAGCAAGGCAGGACTGTAGGCCGCTCCAGAGCACAGACCGAATCCTTCTAAGCGGCAGAGCATGTGCGTGCAACAACTCCCACAGCTGGTGTCTGGCTGTGAGACTGGCTTGCCTCCCAGAAAAGGGGGAGAAAAAATTTTAAAAATGGAGATAAAAAGAAAGGGGCCTATGCGTGGCTCATGCCTATAATCCCAGCACTTTGGGAGGCTGAGGCAAGAGGACTGCTTGAGTCTAGGAATTCAAGACCAGCCGGGGCAACATAGCAAGACCTCATCTCTACTAAAGAAAAAAAAAATTAGCTGGGTGTGGACAGCCACACCTGTAGTCCCAGCAACTCAGGAGGCTGAGGCAGTAGGATTACTTGAGCCCAGAAGTCTGAACTTGCAGTGAGCTATGATCATGCCACTGCACTCCAGCCTGGGAGACCCTGTCTCTAAGCAAGTAAGCAAGTAATAAGTAAGTAAGTAAATAAATAAATGGAAAGAAAGTAAAGGAAAGAAAAAAGAAAGAAACTATCAGAGGGACAGTAGCAAGATCAGCCTCAACTCTATGTTGACTTCCTATACTTCTACAGTGTTCAAAATATTCCCACTGAATATGGTTTGTCATCAGGGATTGTTTTTAAAAGATATTTTCAAAGAGAATTGATAAAGGTATCCAGCAGCTGTGTGTGAATCACCTGAGGCCAGGAGTTCAAGACCAGCCAGGGCACCATAGCGAGACCTCATCTCTACAAAAAAAACTGTCTTAAAAAAAATTTTTGTTTTTAAGGTATCCAGGAGCACATGCTTTGTGGGAACATCAAGAATGCAGTAAGAACTCTCATGTGGGTCTGCGGAGACGGCCAGCCATGGGAATCACCTGTCGCATTTGTCGGGGTCTAGGGGCTGGTAGCTGGCTTCATAGCAACTGATCCTCTTCATGAAGTCGTCCATGGCTTCTGCGGAGTTGCAGTCTTTGTAATCCGGGCTGGAGATTTTAACTTCCTGCAACACCACAAAGGGGCGGCTGATGAATCACGCGGGAAGGCTTTCTGCCGAGATTAAGCAGGATTTGGGGCTTTCAAAAGGGGAGCGCACAGAAGCCTCAGTGCAAAGATGAGCCGGCCCAGCATGAAAGAGAAAGGGAAAAAGATCCTGGGGGCTGAGTCACAGCCTGATGTTACACGGGGAGGATTCCCTGGGGAGATGGAGAACTGCAGCCGGAAGGACAGAGACAGGAGACCCACGGGGATTCCATAAAGAACACCTCTGAATGCTCCAGCAAGTCAGGATCTGTCCCGTGCCGGAGGCACCGCCAGACAGCCTGGCGCTCAACTCAACCGAGCTCCACGTGGGCACCTGCAATGCTCCCCGCGCCGGGAGGAGGCTGCTGGTTCTAAGGTGCGCTCAGGAGTTCCCAGAGATGCCTCTGGCCTTGTGTGGCTTCTCCTCCACCCCTCAACCACCTGAGGCAGCCCCAGTGTGACCAGTCTGTGGTTAACTGCTTCTCCAACTAGGGCTGTGCCTGCTCCGTTGCAGGGCTCGCTCTCCCAGGCAACAACACAGGTCTACCAACATCCACAGTGGCACAGGCCCCAGAAACCAGGTGGATTTTAGGGAAACAGCATTTCTGAATGCCTGGGCTCTTTTTCTCATCAACCACTGCTGTCACTGAGAGGCAGCCACTCTTCAAAGACTCGAGTCAGTGGGGAGTTGTGTCTCTGTCCTGGCAGAGTTTCAGCTGGGGAAGATGAGAAAGTCCTGGGGATAGTATGTGGTGGTTGCCCAACAATGCGAATATAATTTGCTGCTGAACTGCGCATTTAAAAAACGGCTAAGATGGCGGGGTTTGGTGGCTCACGCCTGTAATCCCAGCACTTTGGGAGGCCAAGGCGGGCAGATCACTTGAGGTCAGGAGTTTGAGACCAGCCTGGCCAACATGGTGAAACCTCTGTCTCCTCTAAAAATACAAAAAAAATTAGCCGGGCATGGTGGCACACGTCTGTTATCCCAGCTACTCAGGAGGCTGAGGCAGGAGAAATGCTTGAACCCAGGAGGCAGAGGTTGCAGTGAGCCAAGATCACACCACTGCATTCCATCCTGGGCAACAGGAGACTCCATCTCAATAAATAAATAAACAGAATGGTTAAGATGGTAAATTTTACATTATGTATATTTTACCACAATTTAAAAAAAAAATCTAAGTTCACAAATGCCTGGATCTACAAAGCTGCTTTGAGATTTCATCAGAAAGAGATTTCTGAACACGGCGGGTTGGGGCAAATGATTATCTGTTAGTGGACAACCAGACAAATGCTAAACTCCTTGCTAAGCACATCGGTGACCGCTCACTGGGAAAAATGACTTCACAGCTGCACCCTGCTGTCAACTGAGGGGAATGAGGAGTGCCGAGCCCAAGAAAGGTGGCAAACCCTCTGTTTAGGTGATTTCCTCGTACTCTGAGCCTCCTCCTTTGCACCCACTGGACAAATCTAAACTGACTTTTCACAATTCAAATAGCCCTTCCTGAAACAGGAATTCATTTCCTAAAGATATCTAGAAATACGTCCACCACCGGGGCTAACACATCTAGAAATACGTTCACCACCGGGGCTAACACATCTAGAAATACGTCCACCACCGGGGCTAACACATCTAGAAATACGTCCACCACCGGGGCTAACACATCTAGAAATACGTCCACCACCGGGGCTAACACATCTAGAAATACGTCCACCACCGGGGCTAACACATGCTTAGCATCCCCTCTAAAGATGCAAAGATGCCAACACCACAGCGTCCCAGTGTACGTTTTCAGAACTGCTTTTCTTTATAGAATTGTCATATTCTAATATGTTTAAGCTGAAAATTGTCTCCAACACAGGGTGGCGGCCTGTAGTAAGTCTCCATAGTAACAACTCCTGTTTATATATATTGCTATCAAGTGGCAACACTGGAGAAATTCATCAAGTTATGGTGCCAAGTGCCCTCAGTTTATCTGGGCAAGCTCCCGTGCACAGCACAGACAGGAGGGTTCGTGGCAGGTTCACGAGATGCATCGGCAGGAAGACAGTCTCACCTCCCAAACTTAGGGGGCTGCTGAGCCCTACGGACTCTTGCCACTGCCCAAGCATTCTTACCTCCCGGAGCCGTCAAAGCAAGCGACCCGCTGCTGCCTCCTGTCCCGCTGGGGGCAATGAGATGCCCTCTGCCCCGGCAGCCCCATCACCACTAGCTGTCAGTCTCCTGCCACCAACAGAAACTAATCCTGTCTCCCTGAATTATTTCCTACGTCCCATCCAAGCCTGCCCACTGCCCTAGATGGAGCTAGTCCCTCACAGGACAGGCCTCTGGGTTAAAAACGGCTCTGTAGGTCTGACCTCCCAATCAACAGCCAACTGGGGGCTGCTCGTCCTAAGGGCTCAGCTGCGCTTCCGAGCCGGACCCGGTCCCCCGCTTCCTCAGACTGCAAATGTCCTTGTGGTCTACACTGCTGCAGGAGCCTGGGGTTCCCAGCTGTCTTACCATGATATTGGAGGCCACAACTGTAGGGTCGTCACACACGGACTCGATGAAAAATGCCTGGTGGAAGTGAGGTGGGGATATTAGAAAACAAACACCATGAAGGACCAACCTTGCCATCACTGCGATGTCATCGTCCGGACAAGGTGGAAGCACGCCACCCACCAACTCCCACAGACAGGAAAGGCCACCTCCTCACTGCTGCCTCCCGCCACCACCCCTCTGGGACACCCCACGGCCCCCAAGAGCCCTACCACACAAAGGCCCTAATTTAAGGCCGCAAAACGTGGGCAGCAGGAGAGGAGGGACTGAGCAGACTCAGGAACATGGGCAGCAGGAGGGGAAGGACCAAGCAGGACTCAGGCTGCTTCCTGAGGCCTTTTCCTGTCTCCCGAGCCCTCTAGCACAACACAAGATGCTCAGCTCACCTTAAAGTCATTTTCTTTGGCAAAATGAAGGATCATGTGTCTCCTCTCTCTGGTAGTATTGGTGGCATCGAAAACCTGATGTGGAGAGCAAAGGGCCAAGAAGAAGACTCTAAGTTTGAGTTTAACAACGTTTACCAGAACAGCAAGGATGCCAGGTCATCATCTCCAGCAATAAGTCCCAAAAGCGCTTCAGGGGAGCTGGTGCCTGCCCACAGTCCCCTCCAGGGCGCACCCACGGGGCAGGCCTCCCCCAACTACCAACAGCACTCAGGGGTGGTAGCATGGGGCGAATACCCCAAAAGCAAACAAGCAAAACAGTAACGTGCAATGGGACAGTGTACAAGGAAGGGCCAGTGGTCCTGTGGGCCACCCAGGTCCTGCCCACCCTGGAGGTGGGGGACTGGCCGCAGAGGGGGTGGGTCCCTGAGTCCATCCCACATCCACCTTCCTGAGCCACTGGGCTGCCCTGGCCCCCTGGTTTCCTCTACCCTCAGGGCCAGAGGCACAGGTCTCAGTACACCCCAGGCCAGTGAGGACGCCCTCCTGGGTGGGACTGGACACTGAGCCAGCTACATTCCCTGGACTTACCGCAATTTGTCCCCCTTCTTTCGCCAGGTAGCTTTTGACATCTCTCAAGGCAGCTAAGGCACACTGCCTGGAATGCACAAGAGATGCCAAATGTCAGCGTTAGTGCATCCGCTGGGGCAGCCCAAGAAACCCCCGACGCACCCCGACAGGCAGAGTAACTGGTGGTTCCATTCTACACTGCTCAGCACTGGGCAGGCTGGCCAGCGCCCCTCAGGCCCAGAGGCTACCAACCTGGGGCCCTGCACAGGTGGCTTCAGGCACCCTCGGGAGGCGGTGCTGGTGCCAGGCTGCACACGGGAACCACTCCTGGGGAGCTGCTAAGAAATGGCTGCCCAGAGCCACCCACAGAGTTGCGCTAACTGGTCTGGGGTGGGGCCTGGCATCAGGGGTTTTAGCATCCCCCAGGAGACTCCAGCCCATGCAGCCGGGGCCAAACACCCTTGCACTAGGGTTTCACAATCAACTCGCACTTAACAAGAAATCCTTTCCAAACATAAACAGACACTGTTGGCAAACAGGACTTGCTAATTCTCAGTGAGGGTGCTTCTGCGGCTGTCCCAGTGAGGGTCAGCTCAGTGAGACCCTCAGGGAACAGATGAGAGCAACCTCAGAGGGGCAGGGGGGCTTGCTCCCACACTGCACAGCCCTGAAGGCCACCAACAGGAGCCACCCCGCAGGCCGGCTTTCTCTGCCTCCTACAGAGCCTGGCTCAGAACAAAGCAAGCTGAAGCCAGCAGCCCAGCCTTACTCCCCCGGCCCAGCCTTACTCCCGCGGCCCAGCCTTACTCCCGCGGCCCAGCCTTACTCCCCCCGCCCAGCCTTACTCCCCCGGCCCAGCCTTACTTCCGGACTTTCATGGCTTCCTCATTGTCGGGGCGGAAGAAGTTGTAGGAGCTGTACTGCTTCACAGCCTCCCGGCGATATTCCCCGACGTTGAAAACTGTGGACGGGAAAGAGGAGAACAGCCTAGATGATTGAGCAGGAGGAAGGGGCCAACTCACACTGGGATCGTGGGATCGACCAAAGGCAGAGCCACCCAGCCAACCACGCTGACTGAATGAGATGATACAACATGGAAGCAATGCCGGCACTCAGTCCTGTGCTACCCTCAACTCCTGAGGACAGCAGGCCACAGGCAGCCGGCTTCCCCAGTCCAGCTGCAATGCCCCTGCCACATGCTCTGCAACACTGTCCCCTCCAGCCAAGTCTACAATCCCAGTCTCATCCCAGTCTCACGATATCCTAAACCAGAGACTGACACTGTGAAGATGGGTTGGGGGAGGCCCCAAGTCTAGCAAAAATAGGGACAACACATTTCCACCAATGGTATCAGAAAGTGAGTGGGGTCTCACGCCCACTGCCAGATCTAGGTCAGCCCTTCTGCCGGTGCAGCCGCCAGGGCCAGGGCCGGGGGAATGTGTTCCATGGTTCCTGGGCACTGAGCTGGGCACAGCGGGGATGGTAAACACAAAAACCATGCCCTCAAAAGAGGGGTGGGTGGGAGATGAGCAAGGGTTAAAAAATAACCAGTTGGGTACAATGTTCACTATCTTGGTAACAGGTTCACTAGAAGCCCAGTCCCCATCAATATGCAATATACTCAAGTAACAAACAGGCACATGTACCCCTAATCTAAAATAAAATTAAAAAAAAAAAACCAGTGCCTATCCACCTATCCACAAGATGTGCACCATCTAGTTGGGAAGACCAAGCAGAGATTCTTAAACGCATCATCTACAACAGCGGTCCCCATCCTTTTGGGCACCAGGGACCCCTTTCGTGGAAGACAGTTTTTCCATGGACAGGGAGGGGCTGTGGGTGTATGGCTTTGGGATGAAACTGTTCCACCTCAGATCATCAGGCATTAGATTATCATAAGTGGCACACAACCTAGATCCCTCACATGCCCAGTTCACAATGGGGTTCACTCCTATGAGAATCTAATGCCACCGTTGATCACACAAGAGGAGGAGCTCAGGTGGGAATGCTTACTCACTGCCACTCACTTCCTGGAGCCCGGTTCCTAACAGGCCACTCACATAGCAGTCCACAGCCCGGGGGTTGAAGTCCCTTCATCTATGGTATGCAGTGCTTAGGGCCATCAGCAGAGGAATGTTAGCTAGGACTGAGTGCCACAGGAATGTAAAGGACTGAGGTGGCCGGAGATGGTTTTGAAGGAGGTGAAATTTGAGTCAGGGCAGGATTTAGGGGAGTGGGAAAGAGAATGGCCAATGAGGAAAAAACCCCAACAGAAGAAGGGTGTTACACACAGTGTGGAGGAGGATCCAGCTGCACGGGAGGCAGGATCAGACTCCCCGACCAGGGGACAGATGTGCCTGGGGTGGTCCTGCCTGTGAAGCCAGCAACTGAGCTGGAAAGGTCAAGTTTTTGCATTTGCAGGGGACTGGCCTCAAGACCCAGCCTCACCTTTTGTGGGGACGCCAATCCAGTTGAGGTAGCGAGTCAGCTTCTTGGAGATGTAGGTCTTGCCCCTGGCGGGGAGGCCCACCATGACGATGACGGTGGGGGAGTTGGTCAGCTTTGGCCCACAGGCTGGAAAAACAAGCAAGAAGGGTGTGTCATGGACCAAGTGACCGGAGAAGAGGAGCAGAGGCCACGCCCAACAATAACGCTGAAGAATTTCACCAAAAATATTTTTGAGACAGGGTCTCACTCTGTTGCCCAGGCTGGAGTGCAGTGGCCACCAGAGGTTACTTCCGCCTTGAACCTCTGGACTTAAACAATCCTCTGGTCTTAGCTTCCCCAATAGCTGGAACTACAAGTGTGCACACCACCATCCCTGGCTAATTTTTTTTATCTTTGTAGAGATGGGATCTCGCTGTGTTGCCCAGGCTGGTCTCGAACTTCTGCAATCCTCCCAGAGTGCTGGGATTACAGGCATAGCCACCATACCCAGCATTCATTGAAATTTTCATTTCATCTCCCCATCCTGCAGTCCCTGGTATTGTACCAGAGAGGGACCAGGCAACCCTAGTGGCCACAGCCCCCCAGCCACTCCCTGTCCCTCAATCCTGCCTTTAGGTTCTACTTGGCAAAGACAGTCCCAACACCAAATTCCCGAGCTGATACACACAAACCCAGCAGGGAACCAGTGACTGACACCACAGTGGAAGTGGAAATGCCCCTGTGGGTGGGAGGAAAGGACTGCTCTTGCCAGGGAGGGTGGGGCTCATAGTTGAGAGGGTGGATTCCAACACAACAAGGGGACAGAGCAGGGGTCTGGGGCCCCGGGGTCAAGAGACAGAGAGGCCCACCATCAATACCCGAACCTCCACATAGGAGGTATGGGCAGCATTTCTAAAAAACAAAAATCTTTAAAAACGTAATTTCTAAAAGTAGGAGTTTACAGCCAGGCACGGTGGCTCATGCCCGTAATCCCAGTACTGTGGGAAGCCGAGGCAAGAGGATCACTTGAGACCATGAGTTTGAGACCAGCCTGAGCAACACAGCAAGACCCTGTCTCTACAAAAAAATTAATTAAAAAAAAAATTAGAAGAAAATGAAAAGAGTTTATCAAATCAAAGTAGGTCAGGGAGGCAGAATGCTAAAATTACCCCAGTGGACAGGTAAATCCTCCACGCCTGAGCCTCTCACCCTGTCTGACCCCCTCTTCTGGTGCCAGGCTCGGATGAACACTGGGGTACTGCCGAGGGAAGGGACGGTACGAAGCCTCAGGCAGGGGCCGGGGCTGTCTCCAGGAAACCTGGATATGCTCTTGCCTGCCAGCTCCCTCCTGGCTTCCATGGCTACACAACGGTCTCGGCATCTCAGTAAGACAGCACGGCAGGGAGCGGGGTTTTGCTGGGTTTTTCAGAAAGCAGCCAGAAGCCCCTGTTCTGGAAGCCAAGGACCGAGTATCTTCCCGGCTATCGCCTGGCCCTGAGAGTCTCAGGCAACTCCCGCATCCTGCCGACACGCAAGCTCCAGGGCCAGATGATACCCGCCAGCTCCCGCCTGGGCGGCACCGCCCAGCGCCCACTGCCACGTGCTCAGCCTGGCTGTCCTCACCATCCCCAGACACAGCCCGCATGGCCTGCAGGAAAACCTCTGAAAGCTGCACACAGAACCAGGCAGACGTCAGACTGGACAGAGGCCCTGATGTCCGAACTGAGCAGGCTTAGGCTGTGGAAGCCGCCACCCTCAGATGGGCAGTGGCTCAGGGAAGAAGCCCCTCTGTCAGCCGGATCCCCCCACAGGGCTCCAGACTGGAGTCAAGGTCCAGGATCTGCTCCTAGGCCTGGAGGCGGGGACGGGGAGGCAGGCATGAAATGTGGGTCTTTGTCCCCTCCACGCGATCTGGAGACCATTAGTGGCCTTCTCAGCAGGCAGAGTGAGGAGACAGACGGGCTATCTGCGGATGAGGAGATGCTCAGGAGATGCTAAGAGCCCTGGGCTGGCATGCCCTTGGTGTCCAGTGACCTAGAACAAACAGTTCCTTGAAAACAGACGCTTTTCATTGCCCAGGGTGAGCCAGGCATCCTGAGCACGTAAGTGGAACAAACAAGCACAAAGCACCCAGGGGCTTTCTTGTGTCCCCAGGAGCACACAGAGAGATGGTGGCCTCCCTGAAAGCCAGTGAGGCACACCCCACTGTGCCCAGGGTCATTCTGGCAGCTGTAGCTGCCACATCAGAAAAGTAGCAGCAACTCCTTGGAAACAATACCCATCCACTGACTCCTCCCCCAGGCCAAGGGGCCCTCCTGGTCCTACCAGGTGTCCCCACCACACCGCTGCTCCTAAGGACACCCAGATATGCAGAGACCGATGCACACACATACTTTCAGCTGTGCACACGTGCAGAATATCTCTGTCAGAACCACGCCAAGGAAGCAGAGGCTGATTGATTTATCCAATAGGGGATTATGTCTACACATTAATCATAGGAACAAATATCCTCTGGCAGTAGACTTTTAGGGAGGGAAAAACAACAACAATAAAGACAGCAGAGTAAATACCATGGGGCAAAAGTTCAGACTGGATTTCAAACCCAAATAAATCACCAGTCCCTTCTTGGCAAAGCAGAGCCATTCTGCCTATGCGCTGGTTTCTCGTACAGTGAGATTCAAAGAGAGGGGCGCCAGAGGTGTCTGCAGCTGTCCCTCCCTTCGGAACCCACCACTGTCTTGGACAGATGAGGTGATCACAAATCCTCACTAAACCTTTGAGTCTTACTTTCCAACCCCGGCCCCTTTTAAAACCTCATAGCACACCTCATGTTTCCAATTCTGTGACCCTCAGTTTCTTCTTCTCTTCTCAATGGGCCTTTTTAGCACCAAAAAGGAGACACCCCCACCTGCCTCATCACCCTCCCTGGCAAGACACAGTGATTAGAAAAGATAGGTATTGGCTGGGCACGGTCTCCCACCACTTTGAGCAGCAGAGGAGAGCTGACCACCTGAGGTCAGGAGTTCAAAACCAGCCTGGCCAACATGGCAAAACTCCGTCTCTACTAAAAATACAAAAATTAGCCAGGCTCAGTTGCAGGCACCTGTAATCCCATCTGCTGAGGCAGGAGAATCACTTGCATTCGGGAGGCAGAGGTTGCAGTGAGCTGAGATTGTACCACTGCACTCCAGCCTGGGCAACAGAGCAAAACTCTGTCTCAAAAAAAAACAACAAAAAAATTAGAGTTTAACACAAGATTTTCCAAAGAGTAACTGTGTGTCTCATTTCATTTTATGTAAATGTTTAATATTTTAACTTCTTTTTCACACACACAAAGTTTTGAAAGTTGTGAAACTTAAATGTATTTAGATGTGGACTTTATATGCCAATTGAAACATGCCTGGGGGAACACAGATGTCACTGCGTTACAGGGGAAGGAAGCAACTGTGTAAAGACCCTGGGTAACAGACTAAACACCCGAATTGAGTCTGGGGGACTCATGCGCAAAGTATTGTCGTGGTTATGACCATGGCCACTTCGGCAAATCCTCCCAGAAAGTTATCAAGTCCCAAGTACAGAGCTTCGATTCTGCAAGGTTGTTACGTTCACGACACGCTCGCTCGCTGGGCACATGTACCAGGTGCATGCACTGTGTACCCGTGAGACAGAGGCTACTTGGGGAAGACAGGGTCAGCGTGGCTGAGTAGTGCCTTTGGGCCAATGTCTACAAGCCCGCAGTACCATCAGTGTACAACGCAGATTGCCTACTGGGGCCCGTTCCCTGCAGTTAAACGTACACAGGAAGTCAAAAGAAAACTGAAGGCTGGCTGGTGAACACTCAGCTGTGGGATACAGTGACACAAGGAGCCAGTTATGGAAAGCAGCAGCCAGATGGATGGTGAATCCCTCACCTGGACAGTGAGAGGCTGGCACCCCTGGGTTCCTATTCCTGCTCTCCCAGCTAGATTAAGTTACTAACCTCTCCAACGGTGTGCAGTGCGCAGACAGACAGGCAGCGGCCCACACGGCCTGTATCCCCCACTGACTCAAACCCTAACACAGAATGCATCCCCAGAAAATAAACTGTAGGGGCTACCCAGGGATAAGGCAGGATTTCTCTAGGACATCACCCACCCCGCTTCCTTAAGGTAGAACACCATCAGCCAGTGTAACTCCCTACCGAGATGAAAGTCTATCTGTATTTGAGTACCACATCCACCTTTCTTCAGACTCAATTTCCTGCGGTGTCTATCTAAATCCTGAGCAAAGACAAGCTAGCAGTTTGTCTCATTTCACTGTATTCAAGAAGAAAAAAAAAAAAAAAAGGCCAGGTACAGTGGCTCACGCCTGTAATCCCAGCACTTTGGGAGGCCAAGGGGGCATCGCTTGACGCCAGGAATTCGAGACCAGCTTGGGCAACATAGCAAGACCCCATTTGTACAAAAATATTTTTAAAACTTAGCTGGGCGCAGTAGCACATGCCCACACTCCCAGCGACTCAGGAGGCTGAGGCAGGATTGCTTGAGCCCAGCAGTTCGAGGCTACAATGAGACATGATTGCATCATTGCACTCCAGCCTGGGTGACAGAGTGAGACCCTGTCTCAAAAAAGAAAGTTTAGTGCTTTAAAAGGCTGTCTTTTACCTGTTGTTTACAACCCTGCACTGGCCTGATCAATACCCCATTAGCTCCACTGATCATGGCAACTTCTGATTTAATGCCAAGTCCCAAGCACTGTCTGAGGACTCAGCCCAGTACCCAGGATCCCTCAGAACACAGAGGCTCTTGAATTTTAGTGATGAAGAACAGAAAGAAAAGTCAGACCTTGCCAGTCAAAAAGGTACTTCCTGCCCATTATGCTGACTCACAAATTTAATAAGTCGGCAGGAGTTACGGGATGCATGCGAAGGAAGCTACAGGTTTTGTAAGAAACATTTACCACCACATTGATGTAGCAATAGGGCATCCCGTTAATGTGCCTCCGAGGCAAGAATATAATGCAGCTTATTGATATAGTAGTTTTTGTTTTGTTGTTTTACTGTTCTTTGTCTATAAAAAGCAGTGTCCTGGACACTCTCCTTCAGCAATAAACCTCAGGGAGGCTGGGAATGGTAGCACATGCCTGTAACCTCAGCACTTCGGGAGGCC